TACTACTTTAAAGTAGTACGCTTTAGTCTGTTCTGTTGGTGGTGTGACTTTTTTCCATTGAAAACTGACGTTTAGAGAATGTTACAAATAAAAGTCAAATTTCAATCAACATGCGTGTATTTTTTTTTATAATTAAGTGTTCCACGTGCGCTAAAAAGTGCCCTCCTCCCCCTCCTGAGCACCTGCCCCCCAAAATGTCTGTGCACGCCTCTGACTATAAGCTTTATCAAAAAGGAGAGTTTTAAGCCTACGCTTAAAAATAGACAGGGTGTCTGGCTCATGGACTAAAACTGGTAGTTGGTTCCACAGGAGAGGAGCCTGATAACTAAAAGATCTGCCTCCCATTCTACTTTAAGAATTCTAGGAGCCACTGGTAAACCTGCAGATTGAGAGCGAAGTGCTCTGTTAGGAACATAAGGAACAATCAGATCTCTGATATAAGATGGACCTTGGCTATTTAAGGCTTTATTTAAAAATTGTTGGTAGATAGCATTTACTTAAGACATGCAACCGTGGGCGGTTCTAGACAGAAGCCAACAGGGGTCATCAGATGCCAACAAAATCTCCTTCCCACATATAAATGTGACTCAATGACCCATTACACCCCCAACACAGACTGTTATCCCTGCTGCCTTCCGGGAAGAGACTTTGAAGCATCCAATGCAGGATCATAAGATTCTGTAACAGCTTCTTCCCCACTGCCATTAGACTGCTGAATGTTGTATAAATGGGGTTTAAAAAAGAAATTATAAATTACATTCATAACTATAATTTTTATTATATGATTATATATATATTATCTTTATCAACTTAAACTTTGTGGCTCAGAGGTTTATCGTTCTGTTAGGGCCGTTCCTAAACTGCCAGTATCATGCAGCTTAGCATACTTAGCATTGGCTTTAGCTTTAATTTTCTCAACCGATAAACCCTATATTTATTACTTTATTTTGTTTTCCTTTCCGTTTTATCTTTACATCGAACATCTCTCCTCCAGTTAGGGAATATTGTTAAAAAACTGACTGCATTCACAATGACTTTTAAGCACAGTCCTGCAGATGTCATGCTTCAAACCGATCCTGTAACCTCCTCAGGAAAAAATACCTGAATTCTGTGTTTTTAGATTATTTAGCTGTACTGTCTTTAGTTGTAATTTTAAAAACAGACAAACAGGAGTGGTGGTCACAGATTATACTAGTTTCAACTAATTTAGCAGCCTCTCTGCTACTAATGAAAAACTCCAACCTAAGTTAAACAAAACCTTTACCAGTAAAGTCCAGCAACAAAGATAAAAGAAAGGCCTAAACTAAACCAGCATTTGAACTTTTTGCTAGAAAAAGGGTTTAAACTGTTATTTTTATGTTTTTTTGGCCAGCAAAATCTATTAGCTTTACTTTCTTTTAAAGATTATTTTAGGCTCAGTTGGCTTATTTTTGATAGTGTGGAGACAGGAAATAGGATAAAGAGAGGGGGAGACATCTGCCAGGACTAGAACTTGTCCAAATTAATTTTTTTCCTAATTTTTCTGAATGAGATTATGTGTTGTCGTCTATTATGGGTCAGATTTTGAGAGCACATAACCCTATTGAACAGCAGCTGAATAGCACAACTAACCACAGCCCCTTAAAAGATTGAGTGCAGTATTTAAGTCCAAGAAAAGCTGCAAACCTATTAAAAACCACAAAGAAACCATTGAAATACAGACACACTTTTATTTGCAAAACCACACCGTGAACCTACAGTAAGCTGCCAAAGTGCAGAATTCAGATGCAATGGACACATTGAATAAAATCTTAAAAATACCAAAAATCCACTGAAGTCCTTTGACCAAACCATTATGAATTACAAAACATTTCATATTGTAAAAATAGAGTCAATTCACTTCCCTGTGGAAGTAAAGTAGGTCTGCTAATTTGATAAGGCAAAACTGGGAAAGCCATTTTTGACATTTCCCTTTGCCCTTTCCTTCAGACTATAACACTAGATACAGGGTGTCTCAGTCTCTTTCAGTAGCATTTTACAAAGATCATTTCTGCTTTTTTAAATTTGAGCAAAAAATGGCTGAAAAAGGAACCAGGATCTGTTTAGCACAACAGATTTGATTAAAAGCCTAGAATCAGCTTCATAGACTGAAATCGTCAGTGTTAATTATAATAAAAGAAAGATGATGCAGTATAAAAACACTCAGATCAGGATAAAAGCCTGAGGAACATTTTTTCACTCCCAAACTCTGTGACATTTGTATAAAAAATACGACTAGAGAACAGTGACCATCAGCGGGGACTATGACAGGCAGCAAGGACTCTTTGTTTTACCTCGCCATAGTCTATTTTTTTCTTAGTATGGCTTCTTCAAATTTAAACTACATTGTTTTTTTTCCTAAATACTTTAGAACCATGTATAAAACATGGTAATACTAAAAGGTATATTAAAAAAATGTCTTGATAGAAGCATTGTTCCACTTCCTCTTCTGTCCAGCTGTTTTCGTCCTTCTACACCGACGTCTCTGACTGAAGCTTCATGACAAACTTGTGACTTTTTGGGTCGATGAACTCTTCAGTCAAGCGCAGGAAGGGGAGGGGCATCACCTTGATGACCAGCGCAAAGTCGAGGCGTTTCAGGCAGAAGACCTGGCCTTGGCGCAGTGAGGCTGTCACCGGCTCCTCGCTCACTAGTGTCCACTGGCGCCCCCTGTTGTTATCCAGATACTGGAGGGTGGGACCAGGGCTGAGGTAGCGCTCCAGGAAGGCCTTTTAGGAAAAGAAAAGAGGGATTCATTATCAGGATCCTAAAAATCTGAGCATGGCATGTCTAGTAAAAGTATTCATACCCAAGGAACCTATTTTTTAACATTAAAAAGAGATTTATGTGTATTTTAATTCAATTCTACATGATGGACCAACACAAAGTAGCACATTATTGTAAATTTAAAAGAATATGATACATAATTATAAGACTTAAAAAAAAATTATAATAATAATAAAAAAATCTGAAACATGTACTTGTGTTTTGCGTGTCGTTTGGGGTGTTTCTCCATCAGTTTTACACATTCATAGACCATTAAACTTCTTTTTCTAAAAAGCTGTGGCTCAGTCAGTCAGGCAGAATGGAGACACTGGGAAACATCAGCTTTAGTGCTGTTTAACAAATTATTTTTGTCCGAAATTTTGAAAATGATGATCCCCCTTTCTAATACAACACAATTGTGTATTTTTGTGTTGGTCGGTGACATGAAATCCCAATAAACTCCACTGACATTCATGGTTGCTATTTGAAAAAAAAAAAGTGAATAAATGATTCCGTAAAAGAATGATAACTTTTAACTCTAATATTGCAAAAATGATTTGCGATTTTTCCTTTTTTTAAACAGGTTATAACCAACCATGCAAACATTGATCATTTGTAGCACTCAGGTTTATTTCTATACATTATTCATCTGGGACTGCTCCCATTGAATGTGTTCGGGGAAAGAAATGACTCTCAGCAGAACATCCAAAACTAATTGGGCAAAGCGGCAACTCGAGGCCAGCCTGCCTAGTTTTGGTTTTAGCCAATCACAGTAAAAACTGAAATCACAGCAGACGCTGTGACAAAAACACAACAATTGACGCTTTTACGTTCTTGCTGCTCCTCTTTCAAAGATAATATTGTAGATTTTAACAAACAGATGTGACAGCAGCAGCTAAGCCTATATCCTCATGCACTGCCATATTTATTTGCAGTATTACTTGCAATTTTGATTCCGCCTTGAGCCCGAAGCAGAACCAAAATTGCAAGTAATACTGCAACTTGAATGACGCCATTGATTTAAGCTGGAGTGGTACAAAATGGATTCTTCTTCTCAGTTGCAGACAGTCTGCAGCATAGATCAAAAGAGGAAATCTTTAATCAATCCCACATCCACTAGCATATTAAATGAAGCCTTTTTGCAAGCAGACTGTTTCTAGAAACCTTTGTCAGTGAGCTTCAGAACAAGTCCTGTTGTGAAATGTCTTTTCTCCTAAATATTCTATGGTCAACTCTTAGTACCATTATAACAAAGTGGTAGCACAATAGATGCTGCCAAACATTTTGTGCAGAGATTGCCAACTCTCCAGAGAGTCAGCCGCTGCAGACCACTAAACTTTATGTAGCCTTTAGATTAGCTTAACCCTTCATAGGTACCTCAGTGAAATACTGAAAATCTAAATTTCAAGCCAATAGTGTTATTAGAATCCAGGACAAGACCTTATTACCTTTGTAACATTAAAAAAATATGGATATTTTGATGGCAAAAATGTATGTCAATGTAATAACAAGAAATGCCAACAAGCCCGAATATATTAAGAAAAATAACAAATGTGCTTCTATGAGAAATTCATGAAAAACACTCTGAGGGTGAAAGAAACAATTTTTTTGGTACAACAAAACCTTAGAGGCCTTAATGCTGATACGGGCACTTACATTTTTTTTTAGTTTATAAACCTAAATACCATTGTTAACTAGGCTTATTAACTTTACTTTTTAGATTTTCAATTAACGTTTTACCTTTTTCTCTTGATTTTTCAACTTAATTTCCAATAGGTAATATATGATCAGGGCTCATCTAATTGGTAAAATGCCAGAATAAGATGTAGAGCCATGTAGCAGTATCTTAGCTGAATGGCTGGATATAGATCTTGTGTTTCTAGACCTCACTGAGGGACGGGGGGGACTCCATTTGTTCGCAAGTGATCAAAAACGCTAACTTGTCCTATAAAGGGTTAAGAACAGTAAATTAAGGGTGTCACATAATTGGCTTCCATGGCTGAGCACCTGCATCCATCTATATTTCACCAGCAGTATGGTGATGTATAATGGGTGCACCAATGGACCCAATGGAGCTGGTTTCTCCGGAGTGACCCTTTCAAATATCTATGTTTATATGCATCTCAAGGTGGGACAATATAGTGAATAAGGACATAGAGTATGATATAAAATAAAACTTCAGTCCTTCTTTTTCTGGTTTTATTTGTGCAGATCTTGTTTCTGTGCAGCTCTTAAGAAGCACGCCTCCTAACCTTGGGCGTCATGTTGTGTGTGATGCAGAACTGCAGATGGTTGATGATGCTCTCCATGGTGTGATAGGACTGCTGCCTGGTGGCCCGCAGGTACTTCTGCATGGCCCGAGCCATTGGGGCGAAGATGGCCTGGGCGGCTTCCCTGGGATCCATCACCTCCCGTGGGTGTTTGGGAGAGGAAGACGGCGACTCTTCATCCTGGTGGCGTTTGATATGGGTGAAGGCTTCTTCTACTGCCACCACCAGTCTGAAAGTAAACATTGCAGGATCCAGGTCATGTGGAGTTTTTTTTCGGTTAGTTATGACTAATTAAGATGAATTTAGATACTACTTTAACTTTTTAGGTCTTTAGGACTCATTGTCTATCAGTACAGTAAGACATCATGCATCTCTATAACTACCTGGCCCTGCGTTTGCGGACCCTCCTCTCAATCTCTGCCTCCTCGTAGTAGTATTCATTGTGGCTGTTGTCTCTTCTCCGAGCGGCGGCTGCTATCATGGCTCTAGACTGGCCTGTGGAGTTGTTGGTGTTCTCTTTTGGAGAAAAAGACTTTTAAACTAATCAAGCTAAGGAATGAGAGCCTCTAGGGGCATAAAGTAGAATCATGTATCATATGTACTGATTTAAAAATGACAAATTAATACAAAATTGGCTTAAAGTTATCCAGAGAGGACTTATTGTGTGTTGGAGGGGAAAGGTTACCTTCTTCCAGGTTGTAGACTTTAAATGAGGAGATCTTTTTGGTGAGGATGGACTTGGGGAGGTTAAGCAATGCAGAGTTATAGACCGGGAAGTCACTGTAGTACTGATCCAGAATCCACACTGCGGCCCTCTGGATGCTGCATAGCAGCAGAAAGAGGAAAACATGAACGTTTAGCAGCACAGCAGGAAAACAGAGCTGGTCTCAGAGTGTAGCATTTTGAGCTGCACACTAGTAACATGTCAGAGGAAATGGTAAACCACAGAGAGCAAGAAAAGGGCTTGGTAAGGCTGATAAGAGGTCACAGGGAAGTCCAGTTTTACTACAGGATATGAGGTACTTTAAAACACAAACATTTTTATTTCTTATATCTATGCTTATAAGCTAAAATACTTTTTATGTAGGTAGTGCTTAGCTTGGACGGTTAAAACTCTTTTTTTTCTTCCCAGTACTGATGTAGCTGCACAGTTCAGAAAGAGGTTTCAGTTGCTCTGATGGTGAAATTTCATCATCTTCCTGCTGCAGCAATGTTAACTTAAAAGATCACTCCAAGGAAATCTGGTGCAGCATCTTTTAAACTGCAAATACGAGGCAATAGTTTGGTTAATAAACACCTGTTTCACTGATGAAGCATGCAAATGATGATGACGATGATGATGCATGCAGTGGTGGTTTTAGATTAAATCTGTGGGGGGCTGCTTTCTGCTTTATTTGCATGAATAAAGCAGGAAGCAGCCCCTAACAGCAATTTCTAAATAATTGTGGAGGTAAATAGTGGAGATGAAACATTAAATTGGTCCAAGGGAATAATTAGATAATGATTTAGTATTACACTGCAAAAAATAATCGACAAAAAGTTAATATTTCTTCAAATAAGTGGATTTGCTCTTAATTTGAGCGGGGAAATAAGATGTTCTCCCAAAGGAATGAGTATGTCTGATTTTAAAATACAATTATTAGATTTGATGCACTTGAAATAAGATAATGAAGATTAAATCATCTTATTTCCTCTGCAAATGGTCTTACCTCTTTAAATTAAGGGAAAATATACTTAGTCTTATGTAATGCTTGCAGTACAGGGGCCATAAAATGGGGGAGGACCAGTTTTACAGGGGCGCTGGCCCCTTTTGGCTTCTTTCTAGAACCGCCCATGATTGCATGACTTAAGTAAATGCTATGTACCAACATGATGTCTTTTATGAATGTCAATCTGGTTTAAAATCTCTTTGTTTAAATGCCCCAAATCAGAACCCATGAAGTTTTGTTTTTTATTAATTTAAAAAAATGTGATAAAGCAATATGTGAGTGGATAGCTTATATGCAAGCGTGCAAAAGGGATGTTTGTTCTGATGAATTGCCAAAGCGTTTGCATGTAAAGGTGTTACAAATGGCAAGAAGTTCTGCATTAATCTGCGTGTTAAGTAGAAGTTCATTGTTGCATATATAGTTTCCGAGTACAATCTGGTTTTGCAGACTAATTTCTGATCAAGGCGTAGATATGCTATTGGTGGCCTGTGTGAAATGGAACAAAAGAGGAACTATCAAAAAGCTTTTCAGAATCCTTTAGACATAAATAATCTTCTTAGAGCTAGCTAGACATCTGTTTTAAAAATAAAGTTTGGCCTCTTTACTTCCCTCATTAAAATATATATTAAATAGAATTGATCAAAAAGATAATGGGACCGAGTCGACCTCAATCAGACTAAACTGTAAACTAATTTGGTTTCAGACGGAGATAGACCAACCTGTTAATCTAACCTTGGCTGCAGCAGGAAGGACATTTAGCATAAATATTGGCCAATTCTGAAGAGCAAGTCAGGATGACTGAATAAAAGATGTTAAAATCTACATTGGTTAATATAACTGAGAATTAGATCAGCACATTTAAGGAAATCAGCCACATCTGGGTATCACATGGTTTGCTTTATTTGTGCCAAATTAGCTTAACATCCATAAAAATGTTCAGTATGAAATAAATGCAGCCTTTTCCACATCCGACTGAAGCTATATTTCTCCTGTATCTCTGTATATCTATATGTTGTTTAGGAAATATACTCCAGTTCTTTAGATTGACCAGTACAACACTCAAAAAACATTTTTTTTGCCTATTGGCCTAAGTGGTTAGGGCATTATGTTTGTATCCCAGAGATTCTGAGTTTAAGCCCCACTCCAACAGACTGCCACTCTGAGTCCCTGAGCAAAGTTTTGTTGCTTTGTACTTGTGTAATGACAATGAAGTCATTTGAATTATTCTCAGAGAGGTATAACAACAAACATCTCTGTGGGAGCTCAGCGGTTAGCAGTTTCAACCTTTCTGTTTGTTCTTATTCTTGCAAGAATTTTATACTTAGAGAGCCCCGTTGATTATTTTTTCAAATCTCCTTTGTTAAGTTATTTTATTTCCCATTAACAGGGAGCAGCTAAAATAACACAAACAAACAGTTTATTAAATGCTGCTACAGGAGTTAACCCTAATTCACAGTACTTTTGGTTTATTAACATCTTATTCTAAACCACCCTTTGGAATTAAAAATATTAAAACATTTAGAATTGGCCGGTCCGATCTTTAACAATGTGGAAACTGCTGTCCTTCAGGTAAAGCCTCAATGGTGAACCTCCAGTGTTAGTCAGACTTTGTTTACTGTTAATGGTTAATTTTTAGGTGTGAATACTTTCCTGTCTGCAGGATGAATTTATTTTATTTACATATAAGTCAAGTGTATTTTTACCGATACTAACCTAAGATGCCCCACATTGTAGAAGCGGCTGACTCCATCAGTGGTCCTGACAACTTTCAGACAGAAAGCGGGTCGTAGGTGTCGAACCTCCAGCAGAACCAGAGCCAGGTACTGAATGAAAAGCAGTGCGTCCACCAATGATGCAGCGTATCCCACAATCCCCCTGTAGTCCGTCTCTCGAGGCTCCAGGACTCTGACGCCATAGAAGAGCCAATAAGACGCGACGAAGAGGAAGACCAGCGCCAGCAGCAGGCAGCGGAAGACAAAGAAGCGTGGCAGAGTGGCTCTGGGCGGGCGGAGAAACAACGCCCACGTGGAGATGAGGAGGATCAGGAGTTTGAAGGCCAGAGAGATGTAAAGACCCTCACATGGCGTTCCACAGGGGTCCAATGTTTCCCGCCACAGGAGCTGTGGGAGGGCAAGGAAGGCCAAAGGAGTGATTACAGAGATGAGGCCCAAAATGCCTCCTAGAACAGGGCTGATGTAGCGGCGACAGTCTAGAGGTAGAGAGTCCTCCAAGTCTTTAGAGGTCCGAGTCAGATCCTCATTGGAGACGCTGTCCACAGAAGTACCAGTGACCACAGTGGTGGTTTCCCCCCAGTTATCATCCTGTGGAAACAGCAGAGGAGGTGAAGGTGAGGATATTTCCACCTAGAACAACACAGGCAACACCAGAAAATACATAGATCTGACCCTGTCGTCTACTATAGTCGACTCAGGATCCAGCAGCGGCTCCCCCGGAGCCTGGATCATCACAGATTTATCTCCACGGACCGATCCATCCCGGTTCTTTAAGCGATGACGCTCCCTTCTTTCTCTGAAATACAAACAAGTGGAAAAGCCAGGAGTGGTCAATTATTCCCCAATAAAGGTTTCAGCTTAAAACAAGTATTTTCAAAGTAATCATTAATTGTTACTGCAGGGCCATACAGTAATATAACCCTGGCTTAGTTTAAGGTTATCAGGGAAATACAGTCTTGATCCGAATAAAGACCAGTTATGATGTTGTCCTACAAATATTCTGGATCATCCCTGCAAATAATTCTTTATTGCTCATAAAAATATGAGGTCGATATGATAACTATGTCATGGCCAGTGAATACATAGCTTTTCTACCTTATTTGCATATTATTTTACTTTACAAAAATATATAATATATTTGGGAATATGATTCTTGAAAACCAGTCCTCTCTGAAAATACAGTTGAAGAATACAGCTGTAAGTGACTGTAAGTCTTTTTACACCAGTGCCTCTGGTGGCAAAATAAAGTATTACAAAAACAAACAAAATTGTATTTTTTTTTACTTTTATTTCTGTTTTTTTTTTTTTTACTTGCCTTTCAGGGCAGAAAATAGGCCTAATACAAGAAAAAAAAAACCGAAAAAAAAAAAAAACCTTCCAACTTTGTTTTCCAGATTATTTTTCCCTCTTGCCTTTCAGGCCTACCGTAGAAGATGTTACGTCTTATCAGAAATAAAATACAGATTACCTCGCCTACCCAGAATCAGCTGGTTACATTTACACTAATCCATTACTAATCCAAACTTACTTAAAGTAAGAAATTAACTTTCACTTCTTCTAAGAGGAACTTTGTTTTCTATAGAATAAACAAAACTAGAAAAGGGCCGTTATAAAAATCAAAAATAATTAAAAGAAATTAAAATGTAACATTAAAACGATTCAAAAACCTGAATTGATCAAAATCAAAAATGCCTGATATATGTTTATATTAAACAAACGCTAAAAGAGGTTATAGTGACCTTTTATTGTAAATTATTGTAGAATTAACTTTAATGAGTGACAACGTTAAAGCCTTAATATAAGGTATTATAAAAACAACATGATAGACTCAAGAGCTGCCTGAGTAAAAAGTCTATAGACTAATTTTAATCTAAAAAAAAAAACAGAAAGGACTTTTCATTTATCAGCAGGTTGTGTTGCTGTAAGACAGGAAGTTCTATAAACTAGAGTCACCTCAACTTTTGTCGGGTCAAAGTCCTAACATATCATTCTATGATTTGCCTCCAAAGGTTTGCTGTGATGCCTGGATTTAGATAAAACCTAAATCTAAACCTACATTTTATCTCATCAATAATATAAACACACAAAGATTGAACATGAGAATTTGTTCCTTCTATTTAACCTTTTCTTCTTTACTTTTACATCAAATGCATTTTTCTCAGCTGTTCTATTTGGAAATTATTATTTAACTCTGGGATTTTCTTCTCCAAAGTCTTCCATGAAGAACAAAAACTGAAGTCATGGTAGTTTGATCCCATTTTAAAGATTGAGGATTTAGTCATCAGCCCACAAGTTACCTCTGACAATACACAAGAATAACCTTATTGCTTCAAAAGTTTCTACTTCTTAGAGCTAAAAGAAGAAATGCATTGCAACACGCTTTATCAACTAAGGTCATGGGGGGGAATATTTGTGCTGCAGAGGTGCGGATCAACTACATTTTATTTGGTGACATCTAGTGGAAATTATATAGAATGCAAACATCCAGATGAACCCATCACTGTATCTTCTACTTCCAATGCTGTAAAGTGGTGGGATTAGGTAAATACTAAGGGAACCCAGTCATTTGATACAAGTGTGCTAAACAAGAGACACATAAAATATAAAAGACCGGGGGTCCAGAAGGCCGAGTCTGAAAACCACTGCTGTAGAGAAAAATCTATTTTCTAAACCTTTTGTTTAAGGCAAGGCATCTTTATTTATATACAAACAAAAATAACAGGTAACAGTTTATCGCTCAGGATGTCCAACTGTACCCATTCAGCTGACACCTAAAGTAAATCTAGAACAGCCCAAATGACCCTAAAGGCATCCAGTAGTTCTGCATGGTGGTTAAAGGATTCTACCAGCTTTGTTCATCCTTTCTTTTATTTTTTATATTTATTCACAAAAAAAATGGTTAAAGTTCAGTCAGGTTGGATGAGGTGTCTTTGCAAACATTAATCTTTAAAGGTATTGTGGAGGATTCTCGCGAATCTTTAACAAGACCCACCCACTCCACTTGTGCGAGAGCGTGCACAAGCTCATTTCTCCTCGTGCACGCTGTGTTTAAGAGTTGCTGTTCTCATAGCTCATACTGTGCTTACTGTGACTGAATGTCCACCCTAACCCCGAAATCCCTCAATCACTATATAGAGCGGGGACTATATAGTGGACTTTATAGTGAACTCAGGTAACTGACTGTTCGCCAGATGACCACTGCTTCTTGCTCCATTGGTCACGTAACTCCTCCCCCTTACGTAAATATATCATCAGAATTATTGACAATAATGAGGACCACTTATTTAGATGATCCACCCGGAAATAAAAGATCGTCCTCTATACCTTTAAGGCTTGCTACATAATTTTGTTTGACTTTAAGTCTCTATTCTGACCAGGTTATTCTAAGGATATTCTCCTCTAATCTAATTTTTTCATTCTAGCTCTGGCTGTCTATGTAGAGTCGAGAACCCGCTAGAAGTTAAAGCTTGATATCTCTCAAGTTTTCTTCCAGCATTGTCCTTTATTTAGTTCCATCCACCCTGACTAGCTTAACTGTTCTTTCTAAACAAAAGCAGCCCGACTGCAGGATGCTGCCACCTCCATATAGCATGGTATAAGTCTGGTCAAGGATATATCCAATATTGATCAGTCAAAAAGTTATATTTTGGTCCAATCTAAGCATCAAATCTTCTTTAATATTTCTGCTTCACAGGTTCTGGCGTATTACTCCTGCTAATGCATCTCACTCTAACGTAACAACAACAAAAAGCATCCCTTACCTGTTTTTGCGGGAGGTACGCGAGTGCGACGACTTGTAGGAATAGCCCGAATACGTTGACTCGTTGTCCATGTCGGAGGCCAGCGGTGGGGGGAGTTTCCGTGCCACTCCTGTCCCCGAGCCGCCGCCCTTCTCCCAGACCACACCCAATTGGCTCTTACGGTTGCTGATGGACTTTGAGGAAAGAACCAACGGGAGACGCAGCAACTCCACTTTACTCCTGAGGGAATCTATCTTGGAGGCCTGCGGGAAAATGAGCAGCGATGAGAGAGGAAGAGAAGATGTAGAAGCTGTATAGAGCACACTGTGTGAACCAGGAGACAGAGGAGAGATTAGGGAGACAGGAAAAAGTGCAAAGGAAGAGGAGAATTTGTCATGTGAGACAAGTAAAACTGTCTTGAAAGGGGCACATACCAAGCAGGAGCAGAAAGAAGAGAGACAGCATTGTTAAAATGTTGGCACCGTGCGCTCTGTTGAAAGGCTGTGTGCCGTCTGAAGCACAGGACATAGCTGAGCCCATTCGTCTCCTTTATGGGAGACTTTTTCATGAGAAACCATAAGCCCATTGGCCCCGAGTGTGTTCTCAGCTTGATCTCACCTTCTATTCTGGCCCCAGCATCTCAAACAAGCTGCTATTACATTACATTTCCATAGATGGAAGACCAAAAAAACCAACATTTGATATATTTTCTAACATTTTTCAGTGTAAAGTTGATGCCAAACACAAGCGTCACATTCCAAAGGGTCCCCTGTGGTTTCTCAGGGCAACACAGCTCAGCTACAATGGGGATGAATGGGAGTCCAGGGGTGAGAAAAGACAAAGGAGGGAGGAGGTGCTGGGGTGTTGTCATGGAGACCAGAACAACAACTCAGCGCTCCTTCTCCTCCTCGATCCCTCGGCTACACACCCCAGAAAACAAAAACAGACAATCCTTTCACCACAGCTATGAATCTCACTTCAGTTTAAAGATGTTTTCTACTTTATCTGGAATCTGTTTTCTGTTCTCAGTCTTCATCAGGACAGGACCGTCCTTGTCTTCTCAGTACTTCACCGTCCAGCCCTTTAATGTAATAACCACTGTCCTCGTGCTGTCTCATTTGGAGCTCTAACCTGCTGTCTCCGCTTTCAAAATCAGACACTTCAATTAACTCTGAGGGATTTCATGTGGTTTCCACGTGGAGTTGATTATCTCTAACAGAGGGATGTGCTGAGCAGCAAAGAGGACAAATGTTCAGCAGATATGCATTAAGCAGAAAGATTGGTGTCTAAAGTGCTGCATTAATATCAGACTGATATAACGCTTCCTGTGTCTGTCCTAAGTAAAAATATCAGAGGTTGTCCTCAGAATCATATTAAAAAGATATATTTTAATAAAATGTGGAATTTTTTTCCCCCTTTGAAACCTATTTAGGCAGAAAAATAACAAATTCCTGTCAACACATTGCTAGAAGATAATTCCTTTATCTGAGCAACAATTTTCATTTTAAATCAAACTTACACCATTTCACAAGAAACAATCATCTTAAAACTGACAAATAAGCTAAACGATTCATCACCTTCATGTAGAAGGCTTTTAATCAGAGGTGTCCAAAGTATTAATGTTTATTACTCAAGTAGAAGTATAAATCCTACTGTTTAAAAACACTTTTTAAAGTATCAACTTAAGCTTTTTACTCCAGTTAAAGTGCCATTTTTAAAACTACTTAAAGTATAAAAGCAAAAGTAAGACAAGAAAAACTGATCAGGACAGATGCTTTGTTGCAAATCCCTATTAAAGAATGATTTCTACAATTCAGGATGATAACTTCGTTATACTTAACATTCTTAGTTTTATAACTGATGGTAACAGTATCCAATTTAACTTAGCATCATCATTTATTTTGGCATTGTCGAACAACATGTTGGTGCAAAACCGAGTCCAACAACAAAGAACTTAATTGTCTGGATGCAACAAGTTATTTTGATGGTTTTTATCTTTTTTAAATACCTATAGGGTCTGTTCAGTGCGCAGTGGGTAGCACTGCCGCCTTGCAGTTCCGTGTTCCGGGGTCTTTCTGCATGGAGTTTGCATGTTCAGTCATGTTTTTTTTTTTTTAGTGAAGTGAGGTACCCCAAACAACAAGAAATAATGCAGATGTGAGATGTTTTTTTTTTTGGGACTGTGTGCCGGGATCCACAGTCCCCCCCCAAAAAAAGACTATTGGGTTAATTGACTCCTCTAAATTCTCCTTAGGTGTGAGTTTGTCCTGTTTGTCTCTGTGTTGCCCTGCGATGGACTGGCGACCTGTCCAGGGTGGACCCCGCCTCTCGCCTGTAGACAGCTGGAGATAGACAACAGCACCCCTCGTGACCCCAGCAGTGATAAGCGTGACAGAAAATGGATGGATGGAAATACTGACAGGCCATAATGAAATGAGCTTAGATGAAACAAAACTAACGGGTCTGTTTCTAAAACGTAAGACGTAGTAATTCCAAAATAATGTAAGAAGTAGAAGCAAAACGTTGTCTAAACAATAATCACTCCAGTAAAGTATAGATAGTCAAAGTGTCCACTTAGGTAAGGTAATTACAATATTTGGTAAGTTTTTGTTCTTTGTTACTTTACATCGCTGCTCTTAATAAATGGTTCTAATCCTCAAACTTAATTAAAATTATGTTCTTAAGAACTAGAAAGGGCAAAGTTTATTAGAATAACAAACTTAACGAGTTCCTCTTATACAGAGAGGGACAGAAAACGAATGAAACAGAAGCAAAGTACTAGCTATTGATAGAAGTCCACTTTAAACTGTGGTCTGTTAAAAGTCGATCCTTAGTGCTTATATTAAAGGCAAATGGATTCCTGCACTTATGTTCCAACCAAGAAGCTTTTGTGAGATACAGAGCAAAAACGATCTAGAAATAAGTAAAATTTTCTTAAATTAAATGTATTTACCCTTAAGCTGAGTAGGTAATTATGATGATTTTCCACTGGAATGAGTATTTTAACTTTTAAAATAAGGTCATTAGATAATGAAATAGTTTTTTTTACTTATTTTAAATGTAAATTGTCTTTTCGCATTGGCAAAGATTCTCACTTACCTCCTCATTTCCAAACAAAAAGGCACTTATTTTAAGAAAAAATTACTTCTTGATTTTTTTCCAGTGTACATGTGAGAAGTATCAGGCTAATTTTCTGAAGTAGGAACCATCAGTACAACTGCAAACATGTCCAAAACAACAATAGTTGATTTAATCAGGTTTAGACCGTCTAGTGACAATGAACCAAACACCAAAACAGAAGGTAAGGTTAGTTATTCATGACCTTTACCGCCTGATTATTGACCTTAGCAGCCCTGTGATGTGGGTTAGCTCTTATTATTGCAATAAAATTAGAGATTTAAGGTTTTATGGAAAAAGATTAGAAGATCTAATGACAGAGACCCATTGACCTTAGAACCTGCATTCTTATTAGGAACATGGGGATTATTTTTAGAACTTTGCAGCTTTCTGCCAAAAACTATCAAAAAAAGAATTAAAGCCTTTTTTTTAAAGATTTTAAATGTAGTCATGGAAAAAAAGCAGCAACTTTTAACAAGTCAAAACACTTTTAAGAAGTGTTTATTGTTTGGTACCAGAAAAAAAGAGCTATTTGACATGTCAAATATCTGCGAACATAAAAGAATGTTCTGCAGAAATGAAACAGCGCAGCTGAGAGAGCAAATATCTGAGTTTTTCCTTGATTTGAGTAAAATCGTCCTGAGAAGAGAATGAAAAGGAGACCAGATGTTTCCATCTTTCTCTTTAGTCAGGAGAAGGTAAATCCTATTGATTGAACCAACAAGCTTTCTCCTCATAATCCAATCAATGCATTGATTTCCTTTAAAAACCAGGGTTAGCTCAATGTGGGGCATGATCCTCACATGTAGTCAGGAAGTGTCATAGAAATACCTGTTAACTGTTTTATTTCATTTCAGTTTGGAATTAATAAAGTGGTTTGGAATAGAACTGAATTACAGAGTATTTTCATGGTTTTATTGGCGGAAATTAAAGTTTCAGATCCTCCTTCAGTCAGTGAATGCATCATGCATAAGTGCTAGGTTGAAGGGAAATGGAAAGAGGAGAAGAGTTTATTTTTTTTATGAAGGAAATTTTATCCAAGCAGTGTTCCGTGGAGGCATTTAGAAAACTAATCATAGAAGAAATATATTTAAAATAAACTAAACTGTTTTCTGTGCAGCCATGTTGCTGTTATAACATTGTTTAATTCAATTTAATTCAATTAAGTTGAATTATATAACGCCAATTCACAACGCATGTCATCTCAAAGCACTTTACAGTTCACCAGATCATACATTCAGATTCATTCAAAGTTTTGATCTAAGGAAATGCAGTTGATTGCATCGACTCATTGACTCAAAGGCAATCCCTCACACTAAGCATGCTTGTAGCGACAGTGGAGAGGAAAAACTCCCTTTTAACAGGAAGAAACCTCCATTAGAACCAGGCTCAGTGTTTAGAAGAGTCTAGTTCTGCTGTTCAACCATCCAGACAAATTATGAAATATTCGCAAATTTTAGGAGATTTCAGTGCTAAAGTTCCCCAAAGAGCTCACATTCGAAGGTCCTGGTAGCAATAATAAATATATTAATTAATAATGAGACATTTATTATCAGGCTACAAACATTTAATAATGAAGAATGACTGTTAAATGTTCAGTTTATCCACAAAGTACAAAAACTGTTTTACTTTTATTCTTAGATAAAAGATTGATTAAAATAATTGAAATTATGTTAGAAAGCCAAAGTTAATAAAAAAACTAAATAATCTAAAATCAGCCAAAGTTATCTCTGGAATCTGCATCTCTAGTTACAACTCTTGTCATTAATACCTTATATAATAACTAATTAGTTACTTACTTAGGTCAAAAAATGTGAAAGCCTAATTATCATTTCAAGGAAGTAAAATGTTGGAAATAGTTGTTTTTTGCAGTAGATGTTGGTGCTGCTTTAATAGCAGAATTGGTGGTTTTTGTTTAAAGCCTTTCACAAGGAGGTTAAATAATAAACTAAATAAATACAATAAATAGCAACTGTGATTACTTGTGTCAACACAGTCCAGAGGCCAGATGTGGCCTGAGGTGGCAGTGAGGGACCGAAAGGTCAGAAGTTTTATGACGTTGTTTCTGGATAAAAGGGGGTTGGGGGGGAAAGTGTCTCCTTCTACGACAAAGAAGAGGGTTTGATTTATATCGTAAAATAACAAAAAGAGCTATTTTAACAGACGGCCATGGCGAGCTGTTTTACCACTGATCAGTTAAACCTCGAAACTGAATCACAAAAAAAGATGTTATAAAAATATGCTCATATGACTCATGAGTTTTATTATGACTTTAAATTTAATTTCTTTTTTTTTTCTTACATTATTTTTAAAATCTACTCTCTTTCGTTTGGTTGTTAGAAGCTTGTTTGCTCTGCTGTTGTCTTTGCCAATAAACCTCTTGGAGAGCGATATTAATCTCAGTGGGGCTTCCCTGGTAAAGTAGTGGTTAAAGAAATTTTAAAAATAAAAAACAAATTAATTAATTTATAAAATCATGCTTAGCCACAAAAAGTTTCAGTGTTTTTAAAGGGATCTTTTTTAAAGAATTTTAGATTTAAGATTTTTAACGGGACCTGATAAATGAAAGATGTATAACCTGTGAATTAGGCTTTAGTTTTCTCCATTGCTTTTATGCATTTACAGGTAATAGGGAGTGGGCCTAACGTTCTTATTGGAAAGTAAACACAGACTCGTTATCCAATCTATCAGGGCAGCACTGTATTTCATCCCGCCCCCCAGGATATACATGATTTCCTATATATTGATTTTTCAGAGGAAGCAGAAGGAGGGGCCCGCTGGGCCGCCAATCATGTATCACCTCTGACACTTGACACCATTGCATAAATAAATACACATTTATATACGCAGAAATAAATCCATCTGTGGGTCCCCTCTGGTCCCCAGGAGCCATGGTTCTTCAGCACCTGAGATGAACTTTAAGCAACAGACACTCTTTGGAATATGATCCAACTGAGGCTGTATCTCCTGCTGCAACTCAAAAAGGACCAACTTCAACAGGAGCAGGAAGTCATCTTCTACAGTAGCATTGTTCTGATCACTCCATGTTTGTCAGTCACTGTGTGGTTTGACCTGGTGAAAAGGCAGTGAGAACAAGGAGAAATCAGGTCTGCAAAGATGATCATCAGTAGGTGACCTTCCCTCCATCCTGTAAAGCTCTAGAGTCAGGAGGATGGCTGTTAACATCTCTGCAGACCACACACATGCTGGACACTAAAGGGTCGGTTATCCTCCCGCAGAAGTGTGTTGCAGTGAGCTTCTGGAGATATTTTTGATTTATGCCAATTATTGAAGCGTGGTCTGCGCTCTGTTATCCCAAACCGCAATGCAAGAGGGACAATCACGAATTAGCTGGGATCCAGGTGGAGAAAGTGTCCCAGTGTTCTCGTGCACCTCGCTCTTCTAGCTGGTCCATCTTCATGAGTCGTTTTCCACAATGGTGGTCATACAAAACCAAACAAGCCGGTAAGGTACCAAACAGGAAATACGCATAGTGTAAAGCGGATGTAGATTTAACCAATCAGAGGCCACCTGTCTGCGGTCACGTAAAATTTTGGACGGTAGGGGCGGGGCATATCTGCTTTAACTGCGACACACACGCAAACAACCTGGTTTCTGAGTATAACCCCAGGCTCACACAGACTCCGGTCTTACCGTTGCGGTGCGGTGGGTGCGGCGTCGCAGTGATTCCAAGGCATTAAAAAGACGTAAACCTCTCTCACCGGCTGCTGAGCTGTCCGACTGCGGTTACCGAGACACTCCGGCGCTGCAGAAAATTCCGCAAGAAAGCTATCCTTGCGGCGTGCCGGAGCCCTCCGCAACAAGCTCTCGCAAATATCCTTATTTAGGCCGTGTTATCGCGTGAAGTTACGTGAACTCAAGTGAACTTCTGTTAAATCTCCAGACCTGTTGCCGGAGCCGCAGAGCCGCACCACACCGTAGTCAAAAGGGCGGTGTGAGAGGGGGTGTGCGGGAGTTGCGGTCTCCGTCGGCTCGGTAACCGCACCGGAGCCAGTGTGAGCAAGGGGTAAACCAGCCTTAATGGTTTAGATTTTACCTTCAGATCAACAGGCAAAGAGTTACTTGTTAAAAAAAAAAAAAGAAAAAAACTCTGAAGAACCCAAGGAAGATCTAAGAGCCATAGCAGTCAGCCAGTTTTCTTTGAAACAAATGAACTCATTCACACCATCACAACCTGTCATTAGATATATATGAAAAAGATGTAGCCGACATACACATATATGTATGATTAGCTTTTTTTTACTTTATTCTCTTAAATATATATAACCATTCCTTACTTGTGCAAAAAAATGTTCCAATCTGATTTGTTTCTAAGGGCTGGAGGATTGCCCCCCCACCAGCCCCCCATAGGAACGGCACTGGCAGAGGAGCAGGTTTAAACAAAGCAAACACACCCAGCATGCAGGGGAGCGGCTCGGTGCAGCCAAACGCTAACTGCTCATATAACCCAAAGTTAAAGTCACTGATGAGACCAATGAGTCCAGATTTCACAGATGCGCGTTTAAAGCTGCGGTGCGTAAAGACGCACAGGCTGCGCAGGAGTCAGCAGGAGGAAAAAGCGCACAGAGTTCAACCAGGAAACAGAGATTATTGCCAGCCCATTTCCTCAACTGGTAAAGAAAATGAAATTAAAAAATTGTGGAAATGAGTCACATTTATACACTGGTAAGATTTATTTATATTAATTATAAGGGTATATAGAATGACTGTGTGACTGCAGCCAAACAGAGTTAAAGTCGTGCCTTTAAATCCTGCATGGTTCTTACCTTACTGCCCAAAAGAGGAGAAAAAAAAAACGCCTCCAGCACAAAGAGTCAGTCAGCAGAAGGGTCCCTGACCAAAAGTCCCTTCTCTGTTTCCTCTGGGTCCTCTTTCCTCTGATCTCTAATTAGGGCAGAAAATTAAGATCTCCATCAAAGCTCTCGGCGCTGAAAGTTTAGATTTTAAAGCAAAATTCCCCAAATCGCCTCAACAGGCTGCAGCTGAAACCCTCATCCTGGATCCGCGCATCTGTTGTGTCCCAGAGTCCCGCTGAGATGGGATGGGAAGGAGATCCATGGCTGAGGAGGAGGAGGTGAAGGAGGAGTCAAGATAGACAGCTTACAGACAGCTTCCGGTGAGGGCCTTTCAAATTAAAAGCCGTTTTCCTTTTGTGTTTTTTATTTTCTAAATTTCATTCACATTCCTGGGTATATCCGTTCTAAAACAACCATTTTTAAAATAAAGTAAAAATATTGCTGTATAATGTTAACTATTTGATCTAATGCAACAACAAAAATAAAACAAAATGAGTAGGACATCGTTTAAAAGGAAACAAAAATTGAAGATGAATGAAATTAAAATCTTGACTTATTACAAGAGTTTTATTGATGTGATGCACTGAAAGCTGTTTTCTCAAAGCTTTACAGGCCTGTTAGAGAACATTAGTGAACAAACAGCATAATGATCAATGCTCAAAATTAAAGCTGGTTGTATAAAGCAGTGTAATAATCGGTTTATTACGCCCATCCTAGCTTTGAACCTTTAACAGACGAGTCCAAAGGAAAAGAGTGTGACATGGAAACATGAACATCCAACTAACTTAATGATTAATGAGTTGCTACAAGCATGCTTAGTGTGAGGGATTGTATTTGAGTCAATGCAATCAACTGGTTTTCCTTAGATAGAAAATTTTGAATCAATTTGACTCTATGATCTGGTTGAACTGTAAAGTGCCTTGAGATGACATGTGTAGAGAATTAGGCGCTATGGAAATAAACTGAATTGAATTCCAGCTCCAGTCTAGAGCTGTTGCTCTGCAACCTTTGGGTTTATTTCTGCTCCAAACAGCCCAATCAGATCATCTATTATCTCTTATTAATTGGATCAAGAATGGCAAAGGCCTGATAAAGAGCGACTCATTTATATTTAGGTTTTCTGGAGCATCTGTAAAATGCATGGCAGAGGCTCTCAGTGACTGGAGTCTGACACCACTGGGCTAACTAGACTAACCAGGAAATAACCACAGAACCTGAGTGGAAGCAGCAAATGAAAGAGATTTGGAAACACCTCCACTGTGAAATGACACAAATAAATCCTTTTTCCAGTTTCTCACTGTGTTTCCTCTATCCTCCATGTTTAAGATGTGTTTCTGTTCCTGCACATCTGATTCAAAAAACTGACCTTCACAGCAGTGTCGTGCTGCAGAATCCTGTTAATCACTCCATATACTGCGAGCCCAGTGATTAGGAAACACCTAAAACATCCAGGAAATCGGTGCCTGAAGAGGAGGTTTGGAACCACTGATGTGGGATACGCAGATGATCAATCAGATGAGAGGATGATGGAACATTTTAGGAGATGTGAAATATGTCAACACCTTGAACACATTATCCCAATAGTGAAACACGGTGGTGTTAGCATCATGGTCTGAGCGCGCCTCAGTTCAAGGAGATCTAGATACAGGATAATAAGGCGTATAATGAAGCACTTTAACCTTAACAAGTCCATATTTAAAAGCACAACCAGAATTGCAATGGTTCAGGTATAGGCAGAGGGCCTGAAGTCCAAACCACAACAAAGGCTAGAACTTATATATTCCCCAGAGCTTATTATACAATCTGCCTGGAATTGAGCTATTTTGAAACAACAAATGGCAAAAAGAAGGAAATCAGTCTGTAGATGTGTAAAGTTAACGGATACACACCTGACAGACATGCAGCTTTATCTGCAGCAGGTTCTACCAAGTAGCCCACTGACACAGGAGACAATAAAAGCATCAATATTATAATTGTTACATAGCTGTTTATTATATAGAATATGTTTATTTTAATGCTTGTAATGTAATTCAATGTAAACTTTAGTGCAATAACGAATCTATGTTTAAATTTTCTTTTCTTTACCAATGAAATAGCAACATTGTTGGACTGGAGCTTCATTCACCATCGCCCTCTAGTGGCTGCCTCAGCTAAATGCCATAATTGCAAATAAAAAAAACAATTACTGTTCTGTAGGTGTAAATAATTAGTCCTACATCAAAATAAGATAAGGCTTAGATTTTTAAAAAACATTTCCTGTCAGTAGTTAATCTCCAGATGCGATTAAAGATATTCAGCTTTTTGTTTGAAGGTGCATGTCAGTTTTTTGAAAACGCTGTGGATGATTTTCTGCTCTGTTGAGCAATCGGCTCATCCCTGGTTCTCTCCTTAATTAGCCAGCAGTAGAGGACACACTGGCTAATCAAAGAATAAAGCAAAATAAATACAAAACATTCCATTAAAAATATATGATTGAAAATCAAAGCCCACAAGGAATGTTCTTATTCCAGTTTCTTCTTTTTAATCTCACAACACAAACCAAAAAAAAAAAAAAATCCAAAATGTGTTTGCCTTCTGTGCAGCTAACTCACCCTTCTTTTAAAACAAAACAGGAAATAATTTATGCATCCTTTTATTAAAATCATGTCTACAAAAATAAAATCAAATACGAGGACTAAGGCTTTACAGAAAAAAAAATGAACATTATAAAACAAGTGGGCTGGATTTCTCTATATTACACATGACTGAGACCAAATAAAAAGATCATGAGATGGAAATTAAAAATGTGTTTATGCATACAGTAGTTTGCACTGTGCAGGGAAATCTATATGTGCAACATATATATTTATATATATATAAAAAAAACAAATGTAATCATTTTGAGCTGCTTTTAATCCAGCCAGTTAGGGTCACAACATTGAAGTCAATGTACAAGTTAATGCTTGAAAAGGAAGATGCATGAAGTGTAGAGGTAGAAACAGGAAATACAACCACTGTAGTTGACTAGTAGAGGAGGGGAGGAATAAAGAAGAGATGGAAGGTAAGAGATTTAGATAGAAACTGATCCTGATTCAGCTGATCCAGACCAGCGATGATATTTATTGTGCTTTCAAACTGACAAAACAGAAAAAAACATCTCTGCTGGTCTGTGGTGCCGAAAAATCAGCAGCCGAAATGGTTAAAAAAAAAAAGATTTCCCCTTCAAAGCCCCACTTTGGTAGATCTCTGTTCAACTTTAGCAAGTCTCTTCAGGATCAGCTGTGAATGTGATTTTCTGCTGTTTTCCTGTCCCTCCTTCAGAGAATGTAAACACCTATTATTTTCATTTTCTTTCCAACAGCATAGAGATAGGCTGCTAATCTGGCAGCTTCAGGTTGGAAGTGCGACGAAAGGCAGACGTAATCATTACCAAGAAATCAGCCGAGATTCATTAAAATCTCAGTAATAAACAAAGAACTTAGTGAAATTTAAACAAAAAAAAATGTAGCTTGTGGTGTTTTAGTAAAGATAAAGTTAAAAGAAGGAGAAAAGTACTTGGATTTAGTGTTCCTTACTGTAACCCAGGACTAACAATAATATGTAGGTTTAACAACAAAAAAACAAACAAAAACAAAACAAGCACCCAAACTGGGAGGAAATGGGACTGATGGGACGTACTTGGGGCTAGCTCAAGATGCAAACCGTTAGCATGACTCTAAAGCTATGCTAACATGGGGCTTAGCTGTATTTATTATTAAGTTTTACTCTCTTTTAACAAAAGAAGCCCACAGTCGGCTCAATGTTTTGCCTCTTTGCCATTTCGTACTTTTTATTTTAGCTGTGAGCTCCACTTTTTTGGAGGCATTTTGTACCGAATACATTCAGAACAGTTTGTCAACCAATTCTTTGTAATTAACTGTTATAACCTCATTAGAATTTACCACAAGAAAATGGCTTTGATTAATGAGACTGACAGGCAGGATTTCTTTTACGTTGTTTTGGTTTGATCCGGTGGAAATTAATTATCTGCATAAATGGTCCAAATGCGGATCTGAACCGCTGTTTTAATGGATATATAAAATATTTAGCAAATAATATATTTTTAATTCAAAAATATATTAGATTTAAACATTTCAAACCTATTTTTAATAAATCCATTTATCATTTTAATAGTACAGTTATAGAATGATGTCTTTATGGGCAGAAACTGGAGTTAGGCAAGAGAGAAATGGGCTTATGTGTTAGCGAAGGTATAATAAACCATTACAGATTTTTACTAGTATGTTGCCAAACCTTGATCCAAAATAACTGACACACCAATAAATGGAAAATAAAAATCTATGCTGGTCATCTTCATCCCTTTAAGCTTAATGTATGTGTAGGAAAATGGCAGCCATTTTTTTTTCTCTTTTAATGGTTTAAAGTGGGGTTCTGTGAGGCGGCTGTAAGTAGTCATTATCTGACTGCACCTACATAAATGTTTTGAGTTAAAGTGAGTCTGGATCATATGTACAATCTAACGGTTAGTTTCTAGCATTCATGCAAACTCATGCGAGGATGACATGGAGGGGTTCGTGCGTTTCTAATGATGTTCCATCAGAACGCCGGCTTCCGTTCTGTGTTACTAACAACCCAACAGAACCCTACTTTAGCTAACCAGAACCACGGCTTTAAAGAAAGGTTCTAAACAGGTTCTGGTTAAAATCTACAGCTATTTGTAATCAAATAACGACTTGTTGGCTGATGTAAAATAGATGACTTTTTGAAGTGGTTGTAGATGAATTTCATTACTTTTTACATGGGATTTTGTTCTAGTTTTATGCTAAGCTAACAGGCTAACATGCATGAAAGCAGTTGAGTTTACCAGACGTGTTTTTCTGGACTTCTTCCTGACACTTTAAACTTAAAGGCGGTCCAGCACAAAATGAGACGTAAACATCTTGTAGTTTTCTACCTACTTGAACCAAACACTGAGTTACGACTGAGGGTTGTAGCATGAAGCACCGCCGGTGCTCAGATTTGGTTGTGACTTGTTAAACCTCCGTAATGATGAAAGCTGGCATGATGTGAGCAGCTGTGTGTCTCTGCAGAGATCCCTCCAGATAAATCAAACCTACCTGCTTTTTCAGTAGTAAACAGAGCAGTAGTGTCTCCCAAAGTAAAGTAAAATGTGACGTTAGTAAAAGTTCTGCCGTGGGGAGCAGCCTTCCTGTAGCGCCTGTAGAAGCTGAAACCACAGTGATTCAGTGAGTTTAGTGGTGCTCGTGTTTCCTTACGCAGTGCAAATCACCTGAATTAATCAGACACAGTCCTTCGGCCGGGGTGGAAGGTGAACGTGGTGTCCGCCGCTCCCCGGTCAGGGGGAGATGCATTATGGGTAAAGTGCTGGGGTGACGGGTCCCTCGGAAAGTTTCCTTAAATTAACATTTCAACACTTCTCTGCTCCGTTCCTTCAACCAGCTCACCAGAACCAAACAAAAGTCTTTTTTATTTTTTTCCTTCACAAAAATCCAACTTGTCTTTGTTTTCCTCCACTTCAATTTCTCACACTTCCTTCTTCCTTTTCACCAGCAAACTCTTCATTTCTCTTAGCTCTCTTCATGCTTTTTCCTTTAAAGTCAACCATCAAGTTTTCTCCCATGTAGTCTGGATAAGCGGAGCACAGACCTGCATTGGAATCCCCAGACTAATTAGTGTTCAACATCTGTGCATGAGGAGATCAGCTCAGAATCCAGTCGACAGGATTTTGGGCTCTGCTGTCGTTCCCTCGTTCCCTGTTTGGTTCAAATCCAAGCAGAAAACAAGAAGTTAAACATTTAAGAACTAAAACTTGGTTAAATGGTCAAAGATCCAAATAGAGGTTTTTCTCACAAACCGTCTCCTGAGCTGCGGTCCATGGAGGGCGTCCTGGAGACGGTTGCAGAGGGACACGGTTGGTCCTCTGCCTCATCTCTGAGCGACTCTAGCAGCTTATTATGGGCCGTCTCGATCTCCTGCAGAGGCGTCAAAACATCAATAATCAGCAGAAACACTCAGAAATATTCTTCTTGTCATCCAAACCACCAGTGGAGATCTAGATGAGTTTTACAAGGAAGGCCAGTGATTTGTCATAGAGGCAACAAAAGAATAATAAAAAAAAAAAAATAGAGTGGTGCACGACTTTAAACGAGTAAATAAAGTGAATGTGATTGGTCATTTATGGGGCGGGATTGTTGTGGCGGAAGGTTTGTCAGCACGTTTGGTTGTGGCCGGTTTGTCGGAAGCATCTCGCTAACCAGTTAGCAACTTAGTGCTAGCAGATTCCCAATGGGAAATT